ATAGCTGACAACCAAAAACTTACTTTCTTTGACCAGTCTCTTCAGTGTCATTTTGTGCTTAATTGTTTGTGTTCACCTGTGAAGAGTGTTATCAAGAGGTTGATAGGGTGAAAACTGTCGTAACTAGCAGGTAATCTTCAGCTAGCTATCCAGTTGATTTGCAGTTGATTGATTTGTCGACCAGCACGCAACACAGTAACGGCAAGCAAAACACTTGCTGACACAAAAAGTCTATAAAAATTGTGTACCAACGGCGCACGGAAGAGAGAGAACACACACTCACACACAACCAGTCACTGACAACCAGAAAGAAAAATAACAACGGTAGACAGAGTGAGAGTGGGTGAGATCACCAGACAAACACTACCAGCAACAGCAACAGCAACAGCAGCAGTGCCAGTTAACTAGTAGCAGGCGGCAAGATGACTTATCAACAAAAAGAGATCACCAGCAGAGCAGACATGAGTAAGCAACCACTGCTTGCTTGCTTGATAGAGTGAGTGTGTGGCAACCAGCAAGCGTTCTCACTGTCAGACGTCCGTTAGATGATACGGGCGTGAATCACACACTGCAAAAAATGGAAATGTACTGAAGTCACCAGATAGGATTTGTGGTGGTGGTGGTGGTGGTGGAAGCAGTGCTGGTGCAACTCTTTGGCTGATTTACATAAAAGATGATGAACAACAAGAAGAAGACAACAACACAACAACAAGGTGTGCCAAGCAAGAAAGGTGGAGAGAAAAGTGCTGGCCGGTGGTGGTGGTCGGTGGCCAAGACGGTGCTGCTGCTCCTCAGTAAGTCAGTGAAAGGCACTTCACAGCTGTTTCGTGTCGTCTCACACTCTCTCCTTCGCTATCTCTTCCTCTTTTTTCTTCTCTCTCTCTTCTGCCTCACTTTCTCGTTCAACAAGTTTGCCTGTCACTCTTCCCCTGAGCTTTTCACTCTTCCACTATCCGATGAGCGCATTTTGGATGATTACTAATTTGTTTTCCTCCCCCTTCCTCCCCTCCCTCTTCTCCGAGAATTTGTTCGTAACTGCTGATTGACTGAATCTGAGTGAGTGAGTGAATGACTGGTTGCGGCTGTGTTCGACATGCCAGTTGGGGAAGAGTGTGTTATGGAGAGCAATTACGCTGCAACCGGCGCCGCGCCGCCGACACTAATGGCAACTCCAACTGCTGCTCTGCTAATGGCTAATGGCCTGTTGTTCCCAACTGGTTACGCCGGCTGCCTATGCTAATGCTGCTGATGCTGTCGTTCCCATGAGATTTCTGAGAACCCGTTTAAATTCTCAATTTGTTCCGCTTATGCTAGTTCACCACTTTAAAACTTTCGAACTTCGAACTAAAAAATGTGTTGGTGCGCAAGCAAATGGCTGTGCAGACTGGGCCTAGCAAACAAAAGCTAAAGTGATAAGGTTTTAGGTTTTCATACTTTCAAAAATCAAAAGAAAGTTCCAGCACACATCTTTTTTCTGCAAGCAAGCAAACAAGCAATCACTCATCAAAAATGGGCATCTGGGAAGACGAGTGGATGCAGTTTATCAACGGCCTCGACCAGAAGGAGGAAAATGAGACGGTGCTTCGTAACTTCAACTACTACCGCAACCTCAATCGCGCCGAAACTGAAGCATTTCCGGCCCCCCGACCTCCCGGCCTCTACCCCTTCTCGAGTCAGCTGACCGTACTGAACCTGTACAGCGGCCAGCAGGCCGTCCTCTTCCTCTGTCCCACTGCCTCCTGTCAGCTGCTGACGACCCTCTACATCTACACTAGTCAGTACTCCCTCTTTGCATTGCTCTTCCTCCTTCTCGGCTACCTCGCCCTGGTCGTTCTGGCCATGTTGGCCTGTCGTCACTCCTACAATTACTGCTTTGCCAATGGAAAGTGTGGAAAGGGTGGTGGTAGTAGATCGGCAGCGGCTCGCAATGGAGAACGGGGACGTTGTCCACACTGTGACGGACAGCGTGATATCATCATTCAGGTGAATCAAAATCGGATGCCCTCACCACCACCGGCAGTTGTAAACTTACCGCCTCCTCAAAACGATGGTAATGCTCCAAAACTGGTGACTGCTCAAATGCCCAACAGCGATGAAAAACATCAGCAGCAACAAGCGCTTGAAAACTTTCAACATCAGTCAGTGATGGTCGTTGATAATG